GGAAAGCGAAGAAGCTGTCCTGCGGGGTGCCTTCACAAGCCGAACATATACAAATTTATAAGGCATACCGTGGTCGAGTCTGGAGAAGTAGGGGTTTAGTATCCAGATCTTTGTTGCGCCAGAGTTACGCCGTTCACTCGAGGCAGCTAAAACTTCTCCTACGATGACGACATTTACGGTAGGAAAGTTGGTAAAGTTTTTGATTGTCTCTCGGTGAATGTTCTTCAAGGGCTTCTGCACAACGTCGGGTCCAGTGGTTGTGCACCTAGGGATCTCATCCGTAAATGCGTAGATATGCATTTCGAAGTACCTAGGGCATTAGCGCACACAAGGGGTGGGTTTTGGGGTTCAAACCCCTCCCCCCCCCCGCCCCCCTAAAGCTAATAACCTCAAATACAAACTGTATCTTAAAGCTAAGAATCCAGCTCTCAAGGAAATTATAAGAAATATTTATTATAATTTCTGTTGCTTGAAAAAGCGCTTTGCTTTTGCTGTCAATTTTCATGAGGAAATGAATATACGAGCATTTTTTCTTGAAAGCTGCAAACTGATTTAAGAAATTTTGGTAGAAAATTTCTTTTCCATTTCTCGTCCGTCGTTTTATATGAATTTTTCGTTTTTCTTGAGAGTTCAGTTAATTTTTTCGGTATTCGAAATATTAAAAAAATTTAGAAATCGTGAAAACTCACCATTTTTATCGAAAGCCAAAAACTAGAAATCGAAAAAAGGAACATAAAAGAGCAAAAATTCATGGAATCAATAAATTTATTTTTACTGAGTCTTTTTTAATATTTTTTATTAGGTACTTTTGAAAGTTGAGCGCATCTTGAGTTTATAGAACTTTTTATTAAAAAAAGTTGTTTTTAAGGAAAGAACACAACCGACTTCAATTCTTATATTCAAATTTAGGGGTACCGTTAATTTCTTCATGATCCAATCATCGGAGCTCTAAACCAAATTACGGGCCGAACCTTGAGGTACCATCTTTCTACAAAAAAATTATTATATAAACCGGTTCACGTGGTCCAACGTTAGATACGTATTCCGGCGAATTGATAACCTCCCCTTTTTTTAAAGTCGGTTAAAAGTGTTTGAGTTCTGTTAATGTTATGTAAATAAAGTGCAGTTTATGAATTTTAAAACGCTTATTTATTTATTACATACTGTACATAAAACTTGCATAAATATATTTTAAAGAGCGTATTATCTGAAGAAAATTTTCAGTATTTTCCGGTGATATATCTTCAAAAATATAAAACCCCCCCTAAAATATATTCCTGGGTGCGCCCCTGACCTAGGGAGGGGTCTACTTCCTCCAAGTTTTGGTTCTGGTGTTCCCTGCGGTGGCATCCGAGCAATAATTTCTGCTGGATATGAAATTCTGTTCTCTGACGGGTAGCAGAATAGTCTCGCTAAGTAAAGTGGTTGATATTCAGGCGACATCAGAAATAATGCCGTTGCTGTCCATACAGACCTAGAACTTCGCGCCATTTTGACAGCGCAGCTTCCACTGGTGCCACCCTACGAGACTCCTTGTTTAGCTATTTTTTACCTTGGAATTTGATCTCGAATGAGTACCGGTGAATAGACGTTCTAAAGATTAGTTTCATTCTGAGTACAATGATATTCAGTGTTTTGTGTAAGTCTGCGGGAATTATAAAATCTAGGCTTCGATCGCGACGGCTCCAGGTAAATCCAACGTCTATTTCTCTAATTCAAACTACCCTCTGTTAAAAGTCGTAGGAAACTTGGTGTTTAGAAACAAGAAAACATAATTTTAGTCCGATTTCAATAATTTTCAACGTTTTGCTTTTACGTGGCAAGCACAATAACCATACCGAGTTTGGTACAAATTGGTAGCACGGTTACTGAGATACATATATGTGATCATAAGTGGGCGGCGTCACGCTCATTTTCCAAAATTTTATCATAAGCGAATTTCTTGGTAAATAGTTGTTGCAAGCATCAATCTTGAATAAATTAGCTTTAATATTTAATGATTTATCGAAGATTTCATATTTCTTTAAATTACCGTTATATGGGAGGTGGGCGTGGTTATTGTCCGATTTTAAAAATTTTCGGCCATTTGGTATGCTGTAGCAAGGCTAACAATTGTGCCAAGTTTGAAAGAAATTGGTGCAGCTGCTACCAAGATATACACATGTAACCATAAGTGGGCGTGGCTACGCCCATTTTCCAAAAATTTATAATATTCTTATTTCTCGTCTAAATATTATTGCAAATATCAATTATGAGTTAATAATCTTCAGCAGTTGCTAAAATATCGCAGTTTTCGTATTTCTGAAAATTACCGTTATATGGGAGGTAGGCGTGGTTATTGACCGATTTTGCCCATTTTCAATACCATCCGTCCTACGCCCGAAAGAAGTGCACGTACCAAGTTTCGTTAAGATATGTCAATTTTTACTCGAGTTATCGTGTGCACAGATGGACGGACAGACGGACGGACGGACAGACAGACATGGCTTAATCAATTTCTTTTTTCATTCTGATCATTTATGTATACATTTGTCTATATCTATCTCGATTCGTTTTGCCTGTTACAAACAACCGTTATGTGAACAATATCATAATACCCTTGTGCACAAGTGCGCTCAGGTATAAAAATAAAAAACGTATCTTAAAATGTGTCTTTATAATACTATTAAGCATGAAGGACTATTTGAACTACCTTAAAATTATCAAAAAAGTTAGAAGATTGAAAAAAATATTATATAAAAACTAAAAAACACTTAGGGCCGTTTATTAAAGTATTTAGTTTTTAAAACTTATCTGCTCTTTAAACATATTTCTCAAAAATAAAATTTATGTTTCAAGGGCAAATAAATTTTATGGAATACTTGAGAAAACAGACCTCAATCGTAAATACATACAACAACAGTCAACAGTAAAAAAATATCATATATTGTATGTATTTAAGTAAAGCAATTATAAAGCATATGTAAATAGAAAAAATACACATCCAAGGTGTCTAGGTTTTAAAACTTTACAAACTATAAAAATAAAAACACGATTCAAGTACATTTTTGTAAAACTAGGATCATAATCCTATAACTACCATAAAAAACGCATGATATGAATTGAAAATTGTGTTCAATCGAGGGCTAAATAATCAAATTATGATGAGAATGTTATGTAAAAAACAAATTTCTCCGAAAATTTTTATTTATTTTAACTACAAACTAATTTGAAAAATATTTAATCAACCTTATAAGTTTTTTTCTAAATAAATAAAATTTTTCAAACCTACTTTTTCTAAATTTATATCTAAGTGTTTTATGTAAGTGTTTCTCTGAAATTTTTTTGTTACAAACAATTGTTCCCCCAAAAAAATTGTATTTTTGCACAAAAAATAGTTTTTCTGATAAAAAATATTCTTATTTACGGTACATTTTTTTATAACTTTGGCAAATATTATGAATTTTCCTTAAAAAATATTTTTCCTGCATTATTTTTTGCATGAAAAGTTAAAAAAATATTTTTCTTAGCTAAAATAATTTTTGTCAAAAAAGCTACTTTTTTCCTCAAAAATTGTATCTTAAATATATATTTTATTAATCCCAGAAATAATTTTTACGCGCAAAATAGCTTTTCTAAAAAAATATTATTTTTTTATGAATGGTAATTTTTTTTTGATTGTGGGGGATATTTGTTTTTTTTTTTTTGTAAAAAGTCATCAAAAAATATTTTTAGCGTTTTGTTCTAAAAAATACGTTTTCTCTTTTGAGTTTATATTCTGTTTACTATGTACCAGTTTTTTCTTTAATTTTTATTTTTAAAAATAATTTTTCCCGAAAGAAATAATTTTTGTTGTTTCTTCACTAATTTTCTGATAAACTATTTTTGTTCCAACAAACAATTTTTTTTCCTAAATATAATTTTTGCTCAAGAACTATTCTTTCCAAAAATTTCCGATTTTCAACTTATTTTGATTTTTTTTTAATTCTGATTTAAATATTTTTATCTAAAATTTCATGCTAAAAAGAACTAAATGAGTTCTTGTATATACGTAGAGATAAAAACTGAAAACGCAGTTTTATTAAATTTGGCCTCTAGTTTAGCGAATATATCGACGCTTATAAAATTAGCAAGAGACCAGTTGAGCCCGATTTTTGAATTTTCTTTGGTTTGTATTAAATTTTTTTAGTGCAAAATGCGGAAAAAGGAGCAATTTTGAAAAAAATCAATTCTCCTGTTCCAGTTAATAAATGTTACATAATTAAAATTAGTTGAAAACAATTGTAGGTTTCGCCCAAAATGAAAAAAAAATCACTAGAAAAATTTTAAATGTTATAAAAAAATTTCACCAAAATTAAAACAATAATTTTGAGTTTCTAGAGAAATGTTGGGTATGCAGTTTTATAGCTAATTAAATTTTGCAAGTGGCTGAGAGGTCGCGTTGATTTTTAATAATTTTTTTCGCTAACATTTCGAGAACATCTGCATGCTATATGGTAAACAAAAGCGTTTGTTATATTATTAAAAATCAACGCTAGCTCTTAGCAACCTGCAACTTATTATACTAAAATTTATTGATCTATAAAACTGCATACACAAAATTTTTCATAAAAATAAAAAAAATATATTTAATTTTCGTGAAATTTTTTTTAAACATTTATTTTTTAACATTTTTCGTTTTGGGAGGGCCCTACAATTGTTCACAACTAGTTTTTATTATGTAACATCGAAGAGAATCGATTTTCTTCAAAATTGCTACTTTTTCTGCACTTTGCACTAAAAACAAATTTAATACAAACAAATAAAAATTCAAAAATCGGGCTCAACTGGTATCTTGCAAATTTTATTAGCTTTCACTAAAAAATTCATCAAATTGAGTGAAAAATTAAGGCACCGGTGAATTGTGAACACAAAATGCCAATTTTGAACCACTGTGCGCTGTTACTAAACAACCAATAAATCAAAAATACCAATAATAAAAAGAGCTAAAATTCTTCGCGTCCTCTCTGCCACTAACTTACCTTGCGCATGCAACAAATGATGCGGATGCCCGTGCGTATGATGCTGCAGCGGCAAATGATGATGGGGATGATGATGCTGATGTTGTTGTTGTTGTTGTAATGCATGCAGGCTATTTTGATGTTGCACCGCAGCAGCAGCAGCAGCAGCGCTGCCACCGCCCAAATTATGTGGCAAGAAAGCCGCAGCGACAGCAGCATGCGCATTGAAGTAAGCCATGCGTGAGGCGGCAGCAGCGGCCATAGTCATCTGGTGGTGGTGTTGTTGTTGCTGCTGCTGCTGTTGCTGATGTGCAGCAAGCTGTTGCTGATCGCCAGCGGCAGCTGTAGCGACATTAAAAGGCGATGAAACACCACTGCCGCTGGCGCTAACCGAAGTGACCACTGATGCTGACACAGCCGCGGTGGTGGATGCACTTGTGCCTGGAGTTATCGACGAACTCAATGAAGTGGCTGAACTGCTGCTACTTGGTGTGCCGGCAGCAGCGCACTTTTGATGGGTGGGCGGCGGCGTGCGCGTCGTAGTTGTTGTTGTTGTTGTGGAGGCCTGAGTTGGCGGCGATGGTGGTGTTGCTCGACTTGCTGCTGCTGCCGCTGCTGTGGGCGAATACATTTTTGGTTTTGTAGTTGTTGTATCACAGTCGCCACTGCATTCGTTTAAGTCACCGTTTGGGTTGTCGTCTTGCGTTTTGGCGACGGCAGCGACAGCGACGGCGGCTGCGGCTGCTGCAGCGGCGGAATTACTTAAACCAAGCAGCTCTTGAATGGCGAAGGGCGAGCGTTGGGGCATTTTTTTTTACTTTTTTTTATAATTATTATTATTTTAGAAATTAGTTTTTATTTTCGTAAATTTAATTAGACACACTTTTCAGACATTCGATTATTTCGCATTCACGACGATTTGCGTAAGTATGTATGCACATATGTTTTCTATTTGAAACTATATTTTTGATTTTGCAATGCGAGCGCAACCGAATATTATTACTGTGGCGCGAACTCTCGTTTAGTATATAATGAACAAAATGAAGCGCACTCGTACGTTCCTAATTATGTGAGTACATACATAAGTACATATGAACACTTTTCGCGCGAAACAAAAACAGTCATAAAATATCTAATACATTACTACTTAAATACTCCATATCAGGAGAAAAAATTAATTACACGTATTTTTCATATTTTATTCAACATTTTTATAATTTTATACAAATTCGCAAAAAAAAAACGTGTCACAAGGCAACACTCGTTTGGTTTGACAGCACTTGCAGCAAAAATGAAAATTGCTAGTGCAACACGAGCAAGTTGCGAGCAAAAACAAATTTGCGTAATTTCAGTAGCAGTTACACCTTGCTATTTTTATTTCCGAAAGTGATTTCTGCAAATCTGCAAAACGGACTTTCTGACTGTTGACACGGGAAAGTAGACATTCGATTTCGTATTTTGACAGCAAAATGCATAGAAAAAGCGCTTGCATTGCCACGTTAAACCGCAACTTAAAAGTCGTTATCCTAAAATTGAAATGGGCTACAAAACTGCATACTCAGTATATTTCTATGAAATCTAGTTGAAAAGTTCAAAATTTTGATGAAATGTTTTTTTTTTTTTTTGTTAGATAACGAGCTACACTTTTTATAAAAATATTAAATAAATGAATAGGAAATTGCCAAATAATGCTAAAATTGGTGGCACTTCTTTTGGAAAATTTGTCTGAATAAAAATATTCCGGGTGTCCTAGGACTTTTTCAACCTCTAAATGACCTTCGAAAGTCGACTCGTCCTGGACTAAAATGGACGAAAATGGTTTTATTGGAAAACGAACATTTTTTTGGTTGTATTACCGACTTCCGGTTTTCACAGTAAGTAGGTTAAACTGAGCGAAAGTGCGAAAAAAAATAGTTGCAGCTACGAAATAGAAAGTTCTCTTCGATCAAAGGGTCAAAAGGCGTAATTATCATGAATTATGCTATTTAGGGCAGAGCTCTATGTTGGATTTATTTTCGAAACTAGCTGCTTTGCTCATTTCATCTCTGGTGAAAAGGACTAGAGGGAACTGGCTTTTCCATGTTCTTGGACGATGAGACTCTTCCTCTGCCAATGCCGTCTATTGCGAAATTGAAGAGAGTACGCAGTTAATGCACACACAGTCCAGACGTTGAAGTTTCGTAAGAGATTGTCACAGCGTGACTACACTAGTTCTCGAAGCCTATGTCACTGACTCATGTGCATTAACTGGCCGTACTATTAAAGGGTAAATTAGCCCCAATCAGAAAAAAAGTTCACCATACATCTTCGAATCTGAAGTAATTTTGCAAGTTAATCGCAAAAAAAAAAATCGGCCGTGCACAAGGTTCACCCTTTCACATTTTTGGTAATATTTTTGGCATTTACGTAACTCAAAGTGTGATATAATAAATTTTTTGTCGCGAGGAGACATTATTTTGTACCAGAGCTCATGGACCTCAAGTACTACGTTCTATAACTTACCCACCCGATCTCAGTTATTATCACCAGAACGTATCACCTTAAATTGAAACTCACTAAAGATCATTAAACATTTGCTAATAAAGTATTTCCATTATTTCAGTAGAACTATTGAAAAAAAAAGTAAAAAGAACTGTTTATCAAAATTGCCTTGAAAAAATGCTTTAGACTCAGGGGTGTACCGCGAACTTGTTTTTTTTTTAGTTGTAAGGTTCGATGATCTAGTGTACACCCACCTCAAGACCTTTGGGCTGCACCAACAAGACTTTGCTGTGAGACACCTGCACACCATTAGTACTATCGTAGCTTTAGATGTAATCGCATCAAAGGATGTTAAAATTTAGCCCCACTCTGGCGCGCCTTCCGTTACTTTAACCCATTCCGCACCAAGCGAAACTTGCTTTCCAAAAAGCTTAACCAGTTATGAGATAACTTTGTGAATCATTTTAAGGATTTCTGCTTTTTGTAATGTGCCTGATTTGTAACTAGCTATTTTGATATCATACAATTTTTGAAATAATACTTTTACCAAAACTAGAAAAATGTATCACCAATTAAATAAAATTAGTTTTAGAAAAACATGTAGTTATAGAAAAAAAGTTAGAGAAAAAAAAATAAATTTTTTGAAGAATTTGATTTTTAGAAAAAATATAGACTTCATATAAAATTTTTTAGAAAAAAATTATTTTTAGAAAAAGGGGAGTGAGTTTAGAATATGTATATATATTTTTAGGAAGATGTCTTATTTTTAGAAAAAAAAAACACTAAGAAATATCCACTGAGAGAAAATAATTTAGAAAAATCTGAAATTTAAGTTAGGTTTTAGATACTTTTTTTTTTGAAGAAATTAAAAAAAATATATTTTTCCTGAAAGCAGAAAAAATTATGTGAATAGAAATTTGTTGTTTTTTTTTGGAAAAAAGTAGGAATGAAAATTTAGAGGAAAAAATTTGTACCTACAAAATTATTATTTCCTTATTTCTTTCCTTTAGAAAAATCGTGTTTTTTACTGACTTCAAAATAGGAGAAGGTTCTCATTTCGTGGTGTATATTTTTGATTGCAGGCTTATGGCCCTAAAAGGGTTAACCCCAATTTCATTATATCGCAAAGGGTAAGTACTCTTAAACTTCATTCTAGGAATAGTGATATGCCTAACAGCGGAAGTCATTATACGAGTGGGTTTGTAAAAGTACGTTCATTATCAAGCTCCACAGGAAGGGTGACAGTACGGTCACCTTCTTGAGGGAATCCTTGCGAGGTTTGTAACCTAACCACGCTGTACCCAAATTTCAGTACGTAGGTATGTATGTATGTAGATATCTGCACATTCGTAAATGTGATGTGTTGTTGATGGCTCTGTCTATATCAGGCAGAGCTCAAATAACTATTTCTCTACACTCATAGGCACCCACTTAGAACTTCTATTCAATTTATTGAAAACCTTAAAAACACCAATTACAAATCATATAGCTAAGTAAAGAAACGGTTAAATGTAAAAAAACACACAACTAAATAATAATTAATAGAGAATTATTATTCAATAAACTCCCTAACGAGCGTTGACGCTCAAATGATGTTAAGCTAAAATCATTACTAATTTTCATTCAATGTTGATACGTGCTATTATTAGTACAATTTGCTTTGGCTTTGCTCTGGCGCGCTTAGTTGCTTTTGGTTTGTTTGCCTACTCAGCGGCAACGCCGCACTTGCTTGCCCCTTTTACACACTTGCGCTGAGCTGAACTATGCCAGAATGCTGTGAGTATGTTGATGCCGCGACGGATGCGCTACATCGAAACGCAAGCGAAAAACATTAACTAGCAATAAACCGGTTTATTGTGCACAACTACACGCACAGGCGTAGATACACACACACACACACGGAGGCCGACGAGCGCGCGATTTTACGGATGACGCAAGAAAACACAGCAGAAGTATGTGCGTACGAGGCGCACAGTTGTCGTAGCATTAACCCGCCAGCGACGCTTGACAACACAGGCATAGAGAGAAGGGCAATCAGCAAAACAGCAGAAAGCACCAACCAAAAAAAATATAAAAAGTAAATAGCGCGCTGAGTGTGGAGCGTTTAACGCGAAGTCTAGTTAGGCGCACGCTTAGTTTTATACGTAAATTTTCGCAAAAATACGATTAAGCGCGCGCTTGAAAAATTCGCATAAAATACAAAACACAACACAACAAATTCGCCATAATTTCCACGTACAACTGTTGCCCGATTGTAGGCGCACCGAGAGTTTTGTGTTCACAATTACAACGATGACGGCGAGAACTCTGCTACGACTGCTGTGAAGGCACTGGCGCGCATTGCGCTGCTGAGCTGATTGTGAGCTGAAGCTGAGCTGTTTTGCAAACAGAAAATGCAAAAAGCTTTGCGGCAGACAGACGACTTGTGTGCGGCGGTGGCGCAATAGTGGCGGCAGAAACAACGCTAAGACGTACCGACGGACGGACGTAGTGTGTGGCTCGGACGTTAGCTTGCGCCGCCGCTTGCAAATTGTTTTTGTTTTCATTGCCCACTAATGTTTTTTTCTATGCGTTTCGTGTGAGATTTGGCCTGCGCGCATTGAATAAAACGTCGAGAAAAAAAGAACAACTACATACTAAGAAATGTTTAGTCCAAAAAATAAGGAGTAATATAAGGAGCAAAAGCATCGCAAGTCGCAAGGCAGCAAGAACTGCAACCTGCGCGTGCCTGTTGTTGTTTTACTACAAAATTTGCATACAAGGTAGTTGTTTTTATTTTCAAACGGTAAATTGCGAGAACTCACTGTGTGTGCGGCGCATAGAGCGCGCAGTTATTTAGAGCATAGAAGACAGGTATGCAGGCGGGCGGCAAGCAGTCAACAAACAAACAGTCGCCGCCGCCGCCACGCTTGCACTATGCGCGAAGGTGCTCGCGCAAACATTGGGCGTTAACCTCAAACACCGCAGCGGCGTAGAGCGGCTTGACTGGCTTTCAGCTACGCAAACTGCGCTATAGCTGTGCTCCTCGCTCATGCAGCACTTCCCCTACTTCACTTATGCCCGGCAATATGGCGCATGCGCTTTAACACGCCTTCGCAGCAACGTCAGCTAAAAGAGCGCGACTGTACATGCACTATGGCGACACACTACAGTTGCGCTACTCACTCACCCGCGTCGTAAAGGCACTTCCAGCATAGCGGCTTCCAATTGGAAATATTCCAGTTGGATTACGCGCGCTTCGCTGGTGTTAGTGCGCGCTTTGTCTGTGTGTGCGTTAGTCTCCTTCCATCTTTGTTTTTATGTATAAAAGTGTTGGTGTGATTTTTGTTGCCATTCATTTTGCCAGCTATACTCATGCAGCTGCAAAATTCCCCTTTCTCTTTATTTTTAATAACGATTGCTTTGTGTGTAGTAGGTAGCATAGTTGTTAATGTTTTTGCTCTTATTACTACGCTTTTTTGTTGCTGGCGTGCTTACTTGGTTTTGCCTACCACTCTGTGGTTGTTGTTATTGCTATTTTATGCCCACTTCGTCGATTAATGGAGTACGCCAATTT